CCCCCCCCCGCCTTTTTCTTTTTAAACAATTATTGAACACTAGCTCTGTGCCAGGCACTGCTCTAGGCACTGGGACATCTGCAGTGAAAAAGTCAGGCGAGGTAAACAGTGATCAGAGAACAAGATAATTTCGGATGTGGATAAGACGTGTAGCAAAGGAAACTGAGTAATAGGATGTAGAGGGATTTGGGTGGTTGGGAGGCCTTTGGGAAGGCTTATGGAGGAAGAGGTATTTGGGCTGAGAGCTGGGGCAGAAAGAACTGTAAGAGCAACTAAAAGAACACTGGAAATGATAATAGACAATTCTTATTATTTAAATCTCTAAAAGATAATGACCATTTAAACAAAAATAATAACCATGTAGTAGCCTTCCTTTTTGAAAGATACAGGATTGACAGTGTTTTTTTCTTTCATTACTTTAAAGATGTTGATTCAGTGTCTTCTTTCTTGCATCATTTCTGACAGGATATCTGTCATCATGCTTCCTTTGTTCCTCTGTGCATTTGTGCCATTTTTCTCTGGCTGCTTTCAAGATTTTCTTTTTATCACTGTTTTGAACAGATTATGACATGCAGTGTAGTGCAGCATGTTACTGTAGTTTTCTTCGTATTTCTTTCTTTTGTTAAAATGGTTTGGTGGGTTTTTTTTCCCTTCTTTTTCTGGCCATGCGGCATGGCTTGCAGGATCTTAGTTCCCCAACCTGGTGAAAGCCAGAAGTGAAAGCAGTGAAAGTGGCAAGTCCTAACCACTGGACTGCCAGGGAAGTCCCATCTTTTGTTTCTTTACTTGGGGTTTGTTAAGCATCTGGAATCTGTGCCTTTATAGTTTTTTATTAATTTTGGAAAAATTCTGGCCATTATTTCTCCAAATATTTTTTTCTGTTCCCTTCTCTTTCTCCTCTCCTTTGGGAACTCCAATTATACATCTATTAGATTTCTTGAAGTTGACCTACAGCTCCCCGATGCTCTGTTCATTTAAAAAATGTCTCATTTCTCTTTTTATTTCATTTTAGAAGTTTTCTATTCCTATGTCTTCAAGTTGGCTAATATTTTTCCACTATTTCTAATCTGACATTAATCCCGTCCAGTGTAGTTTTCATCTCTAGAAGTGCGATTTGGGTCTTTTTATATCTCCTGTGTCTCTTATTTGACTTTTGAACATACGGAATCCAATTATAATAACATTTTAATGTACTTGCCTGCTAATGCTAACATCTGTGCCAGTTCTGGGTTGATTTAAGTGGATTGATTGTTTTCCTCATTGAAGATTGTATTTTCATGCTTCTTTGCATGTCTGGTAATTTTTGATTGGATGCCAGACTTTGTGAAATGTACCTTGACAGGTCCAGAATACTTTCATAGTCCTATAAATCTTCTTTAGTTTTGTTCAAGGTTACAGTTAAGGTACTTGGAAACAGTTTGATTCTTTCAGGTCTTGCTTTTCAGGTTCATTAGGCAGGACTGAAGCAGTGCTCAGTCCTCTTCACTATTGAGGCACAAGACCCTATACTCTAACCAATATCCTGTTAATCAGGAGGTTTTTCAGTCTGGCTAGTGGGACTAGGCACTCTTCCCAGTCCCGTGTGAAGAGCAGGCATGTATGATACCACTAATACTTCCGGGTGGTTCTTTCCCTGGCCTTGGTAGTCTCCTCCCACACAGTACTCACCTGAGAACTTGAGGGGATTCTCTGTAAGTCTCTTGAGTTCTCGAGTCTCTGTGCTGCTTTCTCTTCTCCAGTTCTCTGTCCTGTGATCTCTAGTCGCCTTAGTCTCTCTGCACTTTCAGCTTCACCCTTTCAACTCCTAGAGGCCTCTGGGCTCTACAGGAGTTCCCCTCTTTATTCTGTAGCCTGGAAACTCTCAGTGCAGTAGGATGGACAATTGAAGGAATCACCTCATTTGTTTCCTGTCTCTCAGGAATCACTGTCCTTCCTTGCTTTGTGTCCAGTGACTTGAAAACCACTGTTTCATATATTTTGCCCATTTTTTGATAGTTTCAGGTGGGAGGGTAAATCTGGTCCCTGTTACTCCTTATCCAGAAGCAGAAGTCTCAAGTTTTGAGGAAGAAAAAGAAAGAAGGGTATTGGGGCTAGACTGTAGTGAGCAGGGATTAAGTACGGGACCAGATGATGAACTCTATAGGTCATGGTAAAGAGTTTGGGTTTATTCAAACAATGATCAGAAGCCTCAAAGGTTTTTAGCAAAGGAGTGACAGGATGTGAATTCGGTTTTTCCTTCTGGCTGCTTTGTGAGAATAGATTTTCACCTCTTCCAGGGGGAGGGGTGGGGATGAAGTCATGGTCTGGGTTGGTATTGGTAGATTTGCTGTTGTAGTTCGAGTAGCATTCTTGAAACAGGTGGCACTTCTTCCTCCCATGGGTCTCCACAACTTGCAGAGGCAGCTTGGCAGAATTTTTCCCCTGGGTATCTTGGAACCTTGCTGGGGAGCTCGGTGGGGATGCTGCCCTTACTCCTTTTGCTGTCCTTCCTGGAGACCCTTTTATCCTTTCCTTTTTGGGCTTGACCCCCTCGTCCTTTGCAGAAGTGAGACGCCTCAGCTGTTCACCGTGTTGCCGGAGAAGAGAACGGCCACTGTTGGGGGGGCCATGATGGGATCAACCCACATCTATGACATGTCCACGGTGAGCACTTGGAGGATACCGCTTTTGGGGGCTGGGAAGGGGGGCAGGAGCTAGGGCTTCTGAGCTTCCCTTTGGAGATGACAAGGCTCTGATTCCTTTTCCAGGTTATGAGCCGGAAGGGCCCGGCCCCTGAGCTGCAGGGTGTGGAAGTGGCCCTGGCACCCGAAGAGCTGGAGCTGGATCCCATGGCCATGACCCAGAAGTATGAGGAGCACGTGCGGGAGCAGCAGGCACAAGTGGAGAAAGAAGACTTCAGTGACATGGTGGCTGAGCACGCGGCCAAGCAGAAGGTGGGCGTGCACACAGGAGCCTGGCTTCGTGAGCGCCAGGGACCAGGGCCACCTTTCTCAGTGGGCTGGTGTCCTCTAGTGGTGAGAGGGAGGGAGGACGCAGTGCCTGCTGCCCTGAGCTTCCTTGGGGTTGGGAACCTAGGAATCCTCCAGTGGGCTGCCCTCTTTGAGGATGATGAAACAGGCACAGGGAGGGGAGGGAACTCATCCAAGTCTGAGAATTCCAGTTTCAGTACTTTTTCCACAGACGTATGTGGCTCCGTCAGGCTGCCCACTCTTTGTTTTGGGGATCAGCTGGTTGTTTAACCTGTTGTAACCTGTTTTGTTCTCTCCTACAGCAAAAGAAACGGAAAGCTCAGCCCCAGGACAGCCGTGGGGGCAGCAAGAAATACAAGGAGTTCAAATTTTAGGTCCCCTCACACACCTGGCCCTCCTTTCGGCCCTTTGCCTGGACACCTGGGCTTCTTCACATGTGGGTCCCCAAGAGCCAGCTCTCCTGCTCTTCCCAGGGGCTTGTTATTTCATGTTCTTATTTTAGACCTGTTTTGTAAATAAAGCTGTTTCCCAAGGAAAGAGATGAATATGTAACACTGCTCATCCTCCTTCGTCTTGTTTTAGTCCCCTCCTGCAAAAGAACGGAAACAGCCATTTTCTACTACCCCAAGTTGCTCCAGTGGCTGGGGGCAGGCACTTGGATCAGATGTTGCCGTTGAGACTGGTGATGAAGCTAAAGCCACACTGAGACTGTGTGTTTTACCACTGCCTGCTTTTGTAGGAAGGCTCTGGGGGAAGGACCTCCAGGTCTGGTTTGACCTTACTGGTGTGTCCTTGGGGACTAAAAATAGCCAGCTTAGCACCCCGGCTGGGCTGAGGAAGTAGGCCAGGTCAGGCCTTCCTAATAGACCTTGCGGCCAATAGGCCAAGTCCCACGTGGGAGAGAGCACAGCTCAAAGTCTGTATAGGTTGTCCTGAGTCCATGTGAGCCCCTGCGTGGTTTCTTCAACCAGTCTCCAGGTTTTGGTGGGCGGGGGCAGCTTTCCCAGGTTCTAGTCCCCCTGTCCTGGGAGGTCTTTCTGACAGGCCAGACTACGTTGGACCAATGGTTCCAACAGGCATTTGCCAAGCACTGGGGAGGGAAGTCGCATACTGCTGCTGTACCACTGATGCTGGTCCAAGTCCACCATCTGGGGTGCCGGCATGCAGGAGGCTTCGAGATGGTTTCTGGAGCCGGGAGTGTGGGTGACTCCAGGGAGGATGAGGCAGTTGAGTAAGGCCTCGGGAGGAATAGGATTTTAGAAATTTAGTAAGTGACGAAGCAGAAAAAGATCCTAAGTAGAAGAAATTGAGGGTAGAGATGGCTTGGGACTGTGATGGTTCTTTGTGGAAGGGGGACATTAGGGGCAGAAAATAGGTGGTTGGCTCCAGATGGGTCAGGGCTTAACTTCAGATTCACCCGTGCCAAAGGCCTTCTGAACTCTAGGTCTTTGAGCCCTTGCCCACACTGGGGAGAAGCGGGGCGGAAACTGCCCGGCCCACAGGCGCCCAACCGGCCGCTGGGTCTCCATAGCTCCCTTTGCTGGTCGTGACGGCGAAGAAGCCCCGAAGACGCAGGGTGGGGGCCAGGGCGGCGGTCGGAAAGCGGGCTTGGGTGGGCAGCGGGTTGGGCCTCTGGTCCACAGACCCGAGAGGGCCGAGGCGCGCTCCCGCGGTAGCCCCCTCCGGTCCGGGGCCGCGCCCCGGAAAAGCGAGGTTTCCGCTGGCTCGGCTGCCGGCGCCCCCGTGGAAGGGACGACGCGAGAGAAGAGGGGGGGGGTCAGCTGGCTGCCGCTGGGCCGCGAACTTAAGGAGAGGATCCGGCCGAGGCGCGAACCGCTGATCCCTCTCCTGAAGAGCGAGGGGCGCGCACGCCCACAGGCCCGCCCGGGTCGCGAGCGCGGCCCCGGCCCCGCCCCTCGGCGCTGGGTGGGGCGGGCGCGGGCCAGGCCTCCCCGCCCCCTCCCGGGA